CCTCCCTCGGGGTACAATTTAAGATGACGAAAATGACTACATCATAGAACCACTGTTAACAACAAACAAAGAGCAAACAAACAGCTCAGAATACAAAAATACTTTCTATGTCACAGGAGTACGTTTGTGTTGTTCGTTGTCAAGTGGACTCTGGCTCAGGGTGACTTTATGTGTCATAGAACGAAAGAGCTGTTGGCTGGTCCAGCTGCGTGCCTGCCTTGGCTTTGGTCTGGTTGTGTCAAGCCATCCCGTTGAGAGTTTGCCTAATTTTTGCTGAAAAGGACCATGATGTAAAAGATCCACTTTATCAACCATGTTGTCCATGTCTAACAATTGGTCTTTTCTGATAGTGTATCCAAAGTAAGCAAGATAAATTATCTTTGTCCTCACCTCTAAGACTGATTTGTTCGTACTCCTGGCAGTGGGTGGTCGATGCGGTGTTCTTAGGCAACAACACAGTTCAAATGCCTCAATTCTTCTGTCTCCCATTTTCATTATCCAACTTCCACATGTCTGTGAGGCCATGGAAAAGACCATGACTTGTAAAAACTGTCTGTGAAAATGCAGATGGACTAAACATGCTAGGTAACGATGTAACTGAATCTGAAAATACGGGCCGCATTTTGGTGGGAGGGGAGTCATAGCTGCTGCCCATGTCCCTCTGGGAAGTGCTGGAGAAAACTGCTGATAGCGTCTTCTGCACCTGTCACCACCCCATGCCTCCTGTCCTTAGAGGGTCCACAACCCTGCTCCTGGGGCTCATTGCTGCCTCTGCCCTTCAGTCCCTCCACTCCTAGATGCTGTCAGGTGAGTTCCATATGGTCTGATGGGTAGGACGTCCTGGCCAATCCCATTCTCCCATCACTGATGTCAGAGCTAACTCCTGGGCCCATTATGGAAACTTCGGGTCTACCTTAGGAGCTGATAGCAGAGAAACAGACGCCAGAGGAGATCTGGGAGAATCAATTAATGGTCCCAGAAACGTCTAATACCTTTTTCAGTGGGGTCCTGGAGAAAGTATAGTGTCAGCAACTCCAGACGAAATTTGGTCTAAGTGAAATGTATGCACGTCACACAATTCACAAGCAGAAGCAGAGTGTGGGGTGAGCCACAGATTCGTTTTTTTAATTATTGTTGAGAGTCAGAATCGAGTTACAAAGACATGATTTGATAGTGAGGCCCAGACTCTCAGCTGTAAAATGAGTTCCCGGGTACTACTGGTCCCGAGACCTTTTCTTGCCAGAAGACAATGAATATATCATATTCTCAAGGAGCCATGATCTTGTCAGTTTAAATTCAGCTTGCTGACCGAATGGGAGAGGAGTCTTCGCCTCCCCTAAACGGAGTGCTCTCCTGTCTGCTGCTGCTTGGCATCTAGTTGGCTGGCTGATGTGAGTGGAATGTTAGCTTTCTCAGGCCTGCAGTGGAGCAGAAACAATAAACACGGGATTCGAAGGACGGGAGAGCAGAACTCATCTAAGAACGACACCCTTTAAATGAAAGTGCTTCTTTCTCAATAATAGGAATTCTAATGTTCTTGGAGTCATTATTATAATAGCTTTCTCTGGAGTACACGAAGCATTAAGAAATCCATGTCAGAGCAGAGGACAGGCAGCCCTGTATCCTTTGTCTTCGGTGCCAACAACGAGTCATTGACCATCCGTATGTCTTGCTTTCCCCATCGACACAGGGGTAATGACAGTACTTTGTATTCCTGTTGCAGCCTGGGAATAAATGGCAAAGATTTGCTAACCTGTGTTTGCTTTAATAGCTGAGAAAGTTATACTGGAGTCTAGCTTCAACATGAATGGAATAAATGTTCTTTTCTATTCTCACATGCCTATTTGAAAACCTAGCAAATAAGTGAACAAAGGGATTTACTGGAAATCGGTCTCAAGGATGAAACCAGGACCAGGGTAGACTGGTCTCAGTCAACCTAAGGAAAATGGTATGAGATTGAACAGGTTTTTCAGTAAAGAGATTCACGTGAAAGTGACCCAGTCGCAGGTGGTTTGGGGCCATTTAGAGCAAAATCGTGGGAAAATAGAACATCTGTCATCTCCTTCAAATCGAAGATCAGACGAGCTCTATGGGGTCTAAGGATCCAGGCGTCTCGGATGCTATTCTCTTTAACCTCTTAGAAAAGTGAGAGGAGATGGCTGAAACAAGGGCTCTCGAGTTCTCTTGTGTGGACCACCAGAATGGGGTAAAAGGTCTTTTCCTCCCAGCTTGCTATTTATGAAAGATTTGAATCGGAGTGGCCACCAGTGATAATGAACAAAAACGGAACCATTTCCCTGGAGAAGACGGAGATGCTAAAATATGGAAATGTGAATAAGAGAGCAGCCAGAAAATGCAGAGACACCTCACATACCACCCTGAACACCTGCCACTTGTCATCGTTCAGAGAGCGGAGTGAGTGCCGTGGAAATAAGGGCCAAGGAGAAAAAGGAAATGCGTGTAGGGAGCAGGGGGAGTGGACAGTGGCATGCTAGTTGCATGTATATTTAGGCATACTAGGGAGCTCTGGTGATGCAGTGGGTTAGATGCTTGAAAGCTAAGTGTAAGGATGATGCTTCAAACCCACCAGCTGGTCTGTAGGAACAAGAGGAAGCTGTTTGCTTTCATACACATTTACAGTCTTAGGAACTCTGTTTGCAATTGCTCTGACTCAGAATCGACTCAGTGGCAGTGGTTGGGTTTAGAAGAGTGGATAGGGAAAATATCATTGATCATGTGATGTTTTAGCAGAAACCTGAGAAATGAGACCGTAAGCCAAGGCAGAAAATGGAGATATAAATGTGGGCATCGTTGGCATGTGCTTGGGATTTGAAATGAGGAAAAGGGAGAAATCACCTACAGAATGTGGAGGGAGAGGAGAGTGTTCTACAATGGGCACTGAGCTAAGAGTCTTACCACACTTTTCTCTTCATAGCTCATCAGCATAACTGGAGACTGTCCACAGGCTTAGGGAAAAGAATCCTAGAAGGAAAGAAATGAATTCAAAGAACTATAATAATCAACAAGCATGGCGTACCACTAAGTATGTGCCTTGCTCCACAGAACAATGATTGGCTCAAAGAAGTCGGGAGTGCTGAATTAAACACAGTTAAGCAGATACATGTGCTGCGGGTTCTCTTAGAACCTTTTAAAGGCGAATGAGCAGTGTGAATTTCCAAGAGAGACATCCGGTGTAAAGAATCCCCCCAACATATTTGGGGCTGTCAAAGAAATCAAGGATAGGCAGCCATTTTCTTTCTATAAAGGGCCAACCATCACTGTTGTGCTACTTTAGCTCAAAGAACTTGCAGACAAATTAGTAAACAAAGTAGTGCGATTGTGTTTCAGTAAAACATGTCTTTTTTTTTGGTATTTCTATATGTAATTTATTTTTTAAATCATTTTATTGGGGGCTCATACAGCTCTTATCATGATCCATACATCCATCCACATTGTGTCAAGCACATTTGTACATTTGTTGTAATCATCATTTTCAAAACGATTTCTTTCTACTTGAGCCTTGGTATCAACTTCTCATTTTCCCCCTCCCTCCCTCATGAACCCTTGATAAATTATTATTATTATTTTTATGTCTTACACAGACCGATGTCTCCCTCACCCACTTTATTGTTGTCCATCCCCCTGGGAGGGAGTTATAGGTAGATCATTGTGACTGGTTCCCTCTACCTCCCCCGACCTTCCCCTTACCTTCCTGGTATGGCTACTCTCAATATTAGTCCTGAGGGGTTTATCTTTCTTGGATTCCCTGTGTTTCCAGCTCTTATCTGTACCTGTGTACATGTTCTGGTTTGGCCAGATTTGTAAGGTAGAATTGGGGTCATGATAGTGGTGGGGAGGAAGCATTAAGGAACTAGAGGAAAGTTATATGCTTCATCGGTGCTATACTGCACCCTGACTGACTCATCTCTTCCTTGTGACCCTTCTGTCCAATTGCCTACAGATGGACTTTGGGTCTTCCACTCCACACACACCCTCATTCACAATGATATCATTTTTTGTTCTGGGTCTTTAATGCATGATAACCTGATCCTATTGACACCTCATGATCACACAGGCTGGTGTGCTTCTTCCATATGGGCTTTGTTGCTTCTCAGCTAGATGGCCACTTGTTTATCTTCAAGCCTTTAAGACCCCAGATGCTATGTCTTTTGATAGCGAGGCTACATCTGCTTTCTTCACCACATTTGCTTATGTACTTAGTTTATCTTCAGTCATCATGTTGGGAAGGTAAGCATCGAGTTTATAGAACAAAATATTCTTGTGTTGAGGGAGTACTTGAGTAGAGGTCCAATGTCTATCTGCTACCTTAATACCAAAACTATAAATATATGTACATAGATTTATTTCCCCATTATCATACATAAATATGTTACATATGTATGTGCCAGTATTTAGTCCTCTATCAATACCCTTTGCCTCCTAGGTCTTTCCTCTATTTCCTTTTACTTTCCTCTTGTCCCACTATCATGTTCAGCCGTCATTGGGGTTTCAGTCATTTCTCTTGATTACATTGCCCTTGATCAAGCCCTACTTGGCCTCCTACACCCTCCTTGCCATCTATTCTAGATCACTTGTTGTTCCTTTATTCCTGGGTTTATTAATACCCATTTCAGGTAACAATAGCATTTGGCCTGAGAGTCATAGTAGTTTGCCAACCATAGAACCAGATTATCTAGCTCAAGAGATGTGTTCACTCTTATCCAGTCCAGACACTTACAGGGGCACCTCGATTCCAGCTAACTTTATGTGGCTGAGGCCATTGATTTGTTATCTTCACTTCGATATCTCTGAAATACGCTTTTGGAAGTTTAGCACCCAAACCCAAGACCAGCAGAGGCCCAATTGGATTTCTGTTCCCTTTCTGAAGCAGTGCCTTTTTCTTCAATGCTTGACACCAGGGAGATCTATCTTCCATCCTGTTTCCACAAGGCAAGTGCTAGAATGTAATTCCCCATCAACGCAGTGATCTGGATTATGGCTTATCCAATGGGTTTTTTATTGACTTGTTTTCCTCACTTCAGAGCTCCCTGGGAAAGGGCCAAGGGAAGGGAAATGAAGTGAGCATTTATAAATTAGCCGCCTAATCTCTCTGGTGAAAGCTGTGATGGCAGATGAGACTTGGAGTTTACCGTATGATTATGACTATTTCCGGGTGCCATGGAGTACGTCTTGACCCATAGAGGCCCTATGTACAACAGAAGGAAACACTGCCTGCTTCCTGAACGTTGTCACAATTGCTGTTCATGGTTGAGCTCATTCTGTGTCAACCCAGCTCTCTGAGGGTTTTCCTTGTCACATGCACAATGCTTAGGGAACATTTGCTTGTTGGATGTAGAGGAAGAAGATGGGTGAGGATATTGGGGGTGGGGGTAGGTAGGATCTAGAGGTTAATGGCCTCAGAGATCTGAGGGGCTGTTGCTTGCATAGGGAATTAAACTTTTCCTTTGGGATGCATGGGATGGAGCCAAGACCATTAAGACCCAGTTACAGGGAGACCATCTCATGAACGGATGCTCATGAGTCGCTGGGATTCATTACGGGTAAAGAAGTAGCCTCGTGAAAACGCTCAACAGAGCTGTGGTCACTCTAACACCAGTGGACTGATGGGCTGGAGGGTGTTTTCCTGCTGAGTGTCGATGAAATGGAAATGCTCAACTCTTACACGGGTTCACGTAGATCAGCGGTTCTCAAACCTAAGCCTCGAGACCCCTTTGAGAATCGAACGACCCTTTCACAGGGGTCGCCTGATTCCGAACGGTAGCAAAATTGCAGCGATGAAATCGCACAAAAATAATTTTATGGTGGTGGGCGGTCACCACAACATGAGGAACTGTATTAAAGGGTCGCAGCATGAGGAAGGCTGAGAAGCACTGACGTAGATGGATGGTTTCCCACAGTTTCCTCCTCCTGTTATTCGGGTCCCCATTGTCAGTCAACATCCTTTAGACGTATTAGCTGGAGCAGAACACAGCAGACTGTTCTAACTGCATTGGTGTGTGGATTGAGAGGAGGATTTACTGATGTCCAAGAGACTTGGAGTCACACTAGTGCTGCCCCCTCAATTTAGCTTCTGCTTGAACTTGAGCAAGGCACGCTGGTCCAGGGACATTTGTCCACGGATCTGTGGCTTTGTTCCCGGGTCGGAGATCCCAGCAGGAACAAAATCAGGCTCTGAAGGCAGAGAGAGGCGTGGTGTCAGAACATGGAACTGGTAGGGCAGTTGCATTTTGTAACAAAATGGAAAGTAAACTCAATTTAGGCACACACAGGATACACAGAACCTGTTTTCACCAGAAATACCTTTGTCCTGTTAAGCGTCTTCCCTCAAGAAGTGTTCAAAGTGGCTTTTAACCATGCAACGTTGATCCCAAGGCCTCCAGATAATCATCTATCACCAACTCAAAAAACTCACTGCCATCAAGTCGATTAGAATCATAGCAACCCCAAGATGCAGGGGACTGACTCCAGTGGGTATCCGGAGGCTGTTCTTTACGGAAGCCGAAAGCCTCATCTTTCTCCTGTGGAGCAGCTGATGGGTTTGTACGACTGACCTTGAAGTTAGCAGCTGCACGCATAACCCAGCACACCTTGCAGGGCTCCACTATCTGGCACAGATATCTGAAAGACGTGCC